TGTAGTCCACGAAAGCTTATGCTCTAATAAATTTGTTAGTCTCTAAAGTGCCACAAGTACTCCTGTTCTTCTTTTAAGCCCATTGTGTCTTGTCCTATCCTCAGAGGTTAAGGAGAACATTTTTTCTCCCTCCTCCTTGTAACAACTTTTATGTACTTGAAAACTGTTAATATGCCCCCTCTCTCTCTCTCTGTCTTCTCTTCTCCAGACTAAACAAACCCATTTTTTTCAATCTTTCCTCATAGGTCATGTTTTCTAGACCTTTAATCATTTTTGTTGCTCTTCTCTGGACTTTCTCCAATTTGTCCAAATCTTTCCTGAAAAGTGGCATCCAGAACTGTGCACAATACTCCACTGAGCCTACTCAGAGTGGAGTAGAGCGGAATAATTACTTCTTGTGTCTTGCTTACAACACTTCTATTAATACATCCCAGAATGATGTTTGCTTTTTTTTGCAACAGTGTTACACTGTTAACTCATATTCAGCGTGCGATCCACTATGAACCCCAGATCTCTTTCCCCAGTACTCCTTCCTAGGCAGTCATTTCCCATTTTGTATGTGTGCAACTGATTGCTCCTTCCTAAGTGAAGTACTTTTCATTTGTCCTTATGGAATTTCATCCTATTGACTTCAGACCATTTCTCCAGTTTGTCCAGATCATTTTGAATTTTAATCCTGCACTCCAAAGCACTTGCAACCCCTCCCAGCTTGGTATCATCCACAAACTTTATAAGTGTACTCTCTATGCCATTGTCTAAATATTGAACAGATATTGAAGATATTGAACAGAACCAGACCCAGAACTGATCCCTGTGGGACCCCACTCGTTATGCCCTTCCAGTTTGACTGTGAACCACTGATAACTACTCTCTGGGAACGGTTTTCCAACCAGTTATGCACCCACCTTATAGTAGCTCCATCTAGGTTGTATTTCCTTTATTTGTTTATGAGAAGATCATGCAAGACAGTAACAAAAACCTTACCACCACTTCCCCACCATTCACTAGACTTGTTACCCTGTCAAAGAAAGCTATTAGATTGTGTAGCGGGGTGGTACCCCGCTCCTGCCCTGAAGGGATTAAAACAGCCCTGGGGGAAGGTTGTGGCTGACAGCTGCAAAGCTGGGCTGATTGAGGAAGCAGCCACAGCTGGGCCATCCCCCAATCAGGCCCAGCTGGCCTGTATAAAAAGGCTGGGAGCAAGGAGCCCAAACAGTCTCTCTCTGCCTTCAGAGAGAGAAGGGCCTGGCTGCAGGGAGCTTGACACAGGGTACCTGAGTGGAGCAGGGCTGGGGAAAGGCTGGGGAGCTCCACCCTGGAAAGCCCCAGGCTGTGGCCTAGCATTGGGCTAGAAGGTACTGGGGGTTGCAGAGGGCAGCCCAGGGGTAGGCCAAGGCAGCAGGTCCATACCCAACCTTACCTGTGATGAGTGGCCTATACTGCAGTCTGCCCCAGGGAGCGGGGGCTAGTTGGTGACTGGCAGTGGCCTTATCCTGAGGTGAGGCAGGGATAGTGGGTGGGGGTTCCCCAGGGAGGGGAGACCCTAGTACTGAGGGGTGTACTGCCAGGGGGCAGCACCCCAGATAAAAGGGCACCAGGGTCTGGGAGGGACACGGGGCCAGAGGACAGGCGGATCACCGGCCTGCAGGGGGCGCTCCAGGACGCTGGAAGAACTAATTCTCTGGACGACCAGCAGGAGGCGCCACAGGGGTGAGTCCACTCCTCTACAGATTGGTTTGACACGATTTGTTCTTTACAAATCTGTGCTGACTGGTACGTATCCCCTTATTATCTTCTAGGTGTCTGCAAACTGATTGTTTGCAGGGCTTGTTTACATGCACTGGTTTAAAATCACACCAGTTCAACTGACTCAACTCCGCGTGTAGACAAGCCCTGAGTTATACAGAGCACTTATCGCCAGAGGATCTCAAAGCACTATCATTGTACTTTGTAATATCACTTTCTCAGACGCAGCTGAAATTTATACACGCCCAACCTCTTTGAAGGCTCTAAGTTGTGATGATTGGGCTAAGCCAATGTGACTGCAGGGCAGCGATGCAGACAGTCAAAGGGGGTAGAGGAGTGCAACATCTTGCTACCCTCAATGATGCAGCACTTAGATGGCCGAATAATTTAGATATCGACTTGTGATGCACATGAAAGATGACTGAAGTCAGTAGGATTGCCCAGGTGTAAGCGATAGCCCTCTTCCTATAGGCCATCTATACTTCTTGCATCTGAAGAAGTGAGGTTCTTACCCACGAAAGCTTATGCTCCCAATACTTCTGTTAGTCTCAAAGGTGCCACAGGACCCTCTGTTGCTTTTTACAGATTCAGACTAACACGGCTACCCCTCTGATACTATACTTCTGAGTGACATATATGAAGTAGACCCTGATTTCTTGTAACAGGTGCAAGTGACACAGGCATAAAAATACCCATCACCCTGGTAAGCCATCAAGTAGCCAGGTTCCCGGTGAGGAGCTAACCTGAATTCCAAAAGTCTTCAGTTTCTCTGCACAAAGCTCCATATCAAAGAAGGTGGAAGAGCAGGTATTGCTAGCAGTGAGAACCATAAGCACTTGGCCATTGTGAAACTCTGCAAAAAGAATCGGAGGAGAAGGCTGGGCGTGATCATAAGGGACTGCGCTGTGGTGTGTTTTCCTCATGAGTGCTGAAGTGGGCTTGCAAATTGAGGAAGTAGCAGATTGCACTGAGAAGCTCTCAGCATGTGATGGACTCTGAATTCTTCCTCAATCATTTCTAAGAAAATCACAACACAAAGGGCTGTGCAGCCTTCTGGTTATATTGGAGGGACCAAGGGCTGAAAGGTAAGGAGACCAAATCCTAGTGTGCCCAAAGAGGAAGTGATCTGACCTGGGAAGGGCTCATGTGCCAGTCCCGTGGGTGACAAGACAATGGATTCAACCCACTCAAAACAGCTGTGAAGATCTGTGACAAATGGCTTTAAGGCTCAGCTCCTTGAAAGTATTTAGGAGCCTAACACCCATTGATTTCAATGGTATCTAGGTGCCTAAATACCTTTGAGAAACTGGGCTTAAGGCACTGCTGTCTTGGCTGAGGATAAGGCAGAGCACTGTAAAGTCTACCCCACCCCCTCCTACCCATGGCACACCTCGCCCCACCCTCTGCACCAGCTCTGCCCCACCCGCGGATTCCCCTGTGTTGGGTAACAACAAGGAAGCTAAATTCCTTCTCACACAAAGGTGTGGCCCATCCAGATTAAAATCCATGGAATAGGCATATTTCAAGACCTGTGGGGTACGTGAATGAAACAGTGTTCTACGTGTTTGCTGAGATGAACTACATATCCGAAAGCGAGCTGTCTGGTCTAGTAGCGCAGGAGTCGGCAAACCTGGGTTCTATTCCGAGCCCTGCCGCTAACCCACTCTGTGACCTTAGGCAAGTTACTCAGGACAAAGGCTAATCATTTTGGGTGCCCAGTTTTAGCCCCAGTGATTTTCAAAGGTGCTGGGCATCCCGCAACTTCAGTTGAAGCCAAAGGAAGCTATGAGCGCTCAGCACCTCTGCAAATCAGGCACTAGCTACTAGATGTCTTAAACTGGGCAAACCAGAAACAGAGACGCTCAAAATGAATGGACCCTTTTTAAAACGTTTACATGGCTTCATTTCCAGATGAGCTGAGCACCTGCAGCTCCCACTGATGTCTTTTAAAGTCACTTTGAAACCTTGGGCCCTGATCTTGCAGCTGAATCTGCCCAGGGCAACCACCTGGCGAGCTATGCATGAAACGTGTGCTACCGGAGCGAATTGCTATTATTGTATCAGATGGACACGGAATTTTAGCCCATTTCTAAAGGAATGTTGTGTTAAGCAACATAAACAGAGCAAGGCTTTGTCAGTCACTTTACAAATCCAGGCTAAGATCTTCACAAGCGATTTATGACTTTGGGGGCCCCAATAGAGATGCCTTAAAGGGGTCTAATTTTCAGCAGGGCACTCCTGAGAAGCAGGCCTCTTTAAGGTGTACCACATTGGGCTCCCCAAACTTGGGGGACCCAAAATTACTAGCCACTTTTTTGTAATTCTTGGCCATGGGGTGTGTTCTTTATTTTTGCTTAATTACACCTCTACCCCAATATAACGTGACCCGATATAACACGAATTCAGATATAACGCGGTAAAGCAGTGCTCCGGGGGGGCGAGGCTGCGCACTCCGGCGGATCAAAGCAAGTTCGATATAACGTGGTTTCACCCATAACGCGGTAAGATATTTTGGCTCCCGAGGGCAGCGTTATATCGGGGTAGAGGTGTATTATAATGGTTCTATTTCTTCAATTGAAAATGAGCAGCCCTAAAAAAAAATGTAGCTTCTCTTAGTTCAATGCCACCTGATTCAGAATGTCATTGTTGCAATCAATAGTTTGAGCTATTTGCTTACCTTTCACCCAGTGAAGGGAGCTGTCATCTGCATGGGTCCCACAGTAGGAGAGGGGACTCTGTTTCTCAGCTCCGTCTGCTTGGCTTTCACAGGCCATGGTGAAGAAACGGGCTTCATGCGGATCTCTATCTCCTGCAGTCATAAATCCAACACTCCATAGTCACAATTCTTCCCCTTTCCTCTTCTACTGCATAGAAACACCCAGTTAAATCTAAGTGAACACATTAAAAAGACTGTTCTCCTTGCTGTGGACTAGACGGTGATACTCTTATTCACACTGAAGAAAAGTCCCATTAATTTGCTTGTGATGTAATATATGACTTGACTTGAGCAAGGGAGTCACAATCTTGCCTGCAAGGAGGAAGAGACATGACAGCACCTGGCACAAAAAGCCCTTGCAGCACAGCTGCCTACAATCTCTTAGGAGCACTGCGGACTCTGCTCCTGATGGACTTTGCCCAAATGCTTAATGGAGTACTCTTGGGTCAGCTCCAAAGTCCTCATGAATAAAGCATACCCATGTCATCCCCATGTATATGTATGATGCTGCAGGCATGGGTGCCAGGCGTCCACACCTCCCATCTATGAGGCAACAGCCCTCTTTATTCATGGGGAAAAGCCGTCCTTTAATTAAACACGATCATGCACATTTTGTAGGCTATTAATCCACAAATGGGCCTCTCCTGAGCCTGTTGAAGCCAGTGGGGAGCTTGGCCATTTTCTTCCATGGGAGAAGGATTGGGGGCCAGTGAGAATATACATTACTGATGCTTTGAAGCAGCCAAGTCACTGAACTGTAAATATTGGATACTGAGCAGGTGCATCATAATGGACTACTGCGTGAGAAAGAGAAAACCAATTCAGATAAGAAATGATGATACAGTGATGGGAACATTACAAATGCAAAGAGAAAGAGACAGACAGACTAGGGCTTCCACCCAGCACCCGCAGGGAACCTTTGCGCTGGGTCAGAAATGCCTGGGTAACTTTTTGTTCTCATTTTCACCCTCGCCTGTGCATTTCAGTTCTCAGTTCCAGAAACAGAAGTCACACAGCCCTGTGAGAGAGACAGTGTGTGTCAGATATAACAATATCCTGGACAAAGCTTATTGGATTCATTGTAAGGATTTTAGGAGTACGGTAGCACCTTGGAGTTACGAACCCCAGAGTTACGAACTGACCAGTCAACCACACACCTCATCTGGAACCAGAAGTATGCAATCGGCACCAGCAGAGACCAAAAAAAAAAAGCGCAAATACAGTACGGTGCTCTGTTAAGTGTAAACTACTAAAAAATAAAGGGAAAGCAGCATTTTTCTTCTGCATAGTAAAGTTTCAAAGCTGTATTAAGTCAATGTTCAGTTGTAAACTTTTGAAAGAACATGACGTTTTGTTCAGAGTTACAAATATTTCCGAGTTACAAACAACCTCCATTCCCAAGGTGTTTAACTCTGAGCTTCTACTGAATGTTGGATTAAAAATGCAAATGTTAATGTATTATTGTGGCAGGTAGATGTCTCTGAGAGACACATGATCAGTGTAAACCCTGGGACGTATTATGAGCTTCAATGGATTCATTTAAACAATGTACCGGACATGAATGATTTTTTTTAGTTGAGCGGAAATACTGGGGGACGGGGAGGAAATGCAAATCCCCATCTCCAGACACAACCTCTTGAAGCTACACCCTGAAGAGCAACCCCCTGTTTATCTGTTCCCAGCATCCCAAGGTCAAAGGTCCCAACAGCATAAAGGAGGGACTCTCAGATTCATAGGGGTGCTTGTTCTGAGCTAATGCTGTGAGGAACTTGTAAGCCCAGCAAAACCGCTTGGTGGGTTTGAAGGACTGCCCCACCCCCAGAGGCCTTGCTGGGGTAGGGTAGGGTGGTCTCCGGTAAGATTATTAGCATGTGTGTAGGTTCCTTTAGTGTTTTAATATGTTTTCTCTGTAATGCTTTTGCCTTAAGAATAAATGGGCTTGCTTAGAAAAGCTGTGTGGTACCTTATAATTAGGGGCAATTATGCCGTTTCTAGCCTCTGAGGAGACAGCAAAGCAGGCCTGCTTAGGCAGTCTGACTTGCTGGGGAACTCACAGCGTAGGTGGGAAACTGTTCAGCCCAGTCAGAAGGCAGCATGGTAAGGTCTCCGCCCGAGAGAGCTGATGGTTGGGAGCGCCTACGTTTAGACTTCTGGCTCTTGCTGGATACAGGGGCAGTTGCCCTGGACCGTGACATGGTGCTTGTGAGATTTTGAGTTCCATGTTGCTGATGCAGGAGGTTTGTATCGTTCAGCTCAGCAGCCAGACTGGGGAGGCTTATCCCAAATGAGCATCTGAATGTTCCGAGGCTTGTCCTGCATCAGTAACTGCCCTACGGGCCTGGGGCTCCTCTGCATCTCTATGAGCACACGGATGATGCTCCACAATTACTCTTCACTTCTCGACCCTTACTTGTGTTCCCACGCACCTGTGTTGCAGCTGCAGGGCTCCCTCACAAAGCCTATCAATGCTGTTCCACAATCAGATATGAGATTACTCTGTTTGCATCCCCTGGTGTCACTGAGGTTTAATCCAGTCACATAACTCCATGATAGTCATCAGCTAAAGTGCAGTCAAACAGGAACCGGATGCAACAGAAACTACATTAAAAGATCGTTATGATTGCAGCAGGAACCCACAAAGGACAGGAAACTCAGTTAAAGGAGTAAAGCTCTGATACTTTGGCACAACAGGAGAGGTGTGTGTGTGAATTTGACCCATGCAGCGGTGGTATTTTTCAGACTGAGTGCTTAGGGGGGTGAGTAGTTGTGCAATCTCAAGAAAATGAGTGATCTGCTGTGGCAGGGAATACCATGAAATATCTCCATTGTGACAGCAGCTATTTACACACTCTCACACACACACACACACACACACACACCAAGCCCTTCTCCACCAGATCACATCACCCTGACGCCAGCCCAAATAAGGAACATTCTTGTCCTAAAAAAAAAAAAAAAAAAAAAAAAAAAAAAAAAAAA